AAAAAAAAAAAAAAAAAAAAAAAAAAAAAAAAAAAAAAAAAAAAGACAGACGTATACCTGCAGCGAACTTCCTTCTCAGTGTGTACGGACATGGCGGCCATCAATAATGCTGTCAAGAGGCACTAGACGGTAATTAAATTTAAAAAAAAAAAAAACCTTGCAAATGGAGATCATTGCTGAATGAATATGACAAGGAGGCAAAAAAAAAGACAAAAAGAAGAATGGGAAATAATACTTTAATAAATATAATAATAATAGTTTTATATATTATAATACTGATGAAAAATATATGACCCAAACGAACGAAACACGAAAATCCACATCCGAAACGATCCGAAACGATATCCTCAAATCCCCTATGAAGGACACGCTCTATTTCCTTCACCCTGGAAAAGAAGCAAGCGAAATCCCAAAAAGGAGAAATACGAAAAAAATCGGCAAAATCCCAAAAATTGGACTTTTTTAACCAAATCTGAAATCTCCAATCACGTTGCAATAACGCAATTTCCACAGTGAAGAAATCCCAAAAACAATAATCCCATTTGGACTGAAATCGACATCAGATTCTTCGCAAAAAAAAAAAAAAAAAAAAAAAGCCAACTTGCCGTGAACAGCGTGAAGACACCCGGCGGATGATCAGCTGTCCATTTCAAAACATTACTAGATGACTAGATGCAGATGGACCCCGCGCGCCCCTTCATTCCGACGAGATCCCTCCCTCCATCCACTCAAGCATCCAGAACAGAAACAAGAAACCGAGGGGAAAAACGAAAAAAAAAAAAAAAAAAAAAAGGCAAAGAAAATAAAAACGACCAAGCATGACAGAGGAAACACAGGAGAGGACGCAGACGCACAGACCAAGAGAGAGAGCGAGAGCGAGCGAGCGAGCGAGAGAGAGAGAGAGAGAGAGAGAGAGAGAGAGAGAGAGAGAGAGAGAGAGAGAGAGACGCTAAGAACTACACGCCACACGCAAACGCTTGCACGTACACGCACAAAACAGACACATGCGTGCGCACCCACACAAATCAGATTCTTCACACGCACGGTCACACACACGCACCATGACTGACTGAGTGACAGAGACAGACAGTCACGCAGGGAGACTGACAAGCCGGACAGACGTAGGGAGACGTCGGAATGGGGGGCAGTGACTCCAGTCAGCGTTTGAAGCGATCCCGCCTCGTCAAAAACTTGGTCCCTGACTCTCTCTCTATCGAGAAAGAGAGAAAGTTGATCCTGCGCTCCGAGAACAGTCAGTTTGGGATCATTCACGACAACGCCGACAAATTCGCCGACAATTACACCGCCGAAATATCATTGATAATTTGATATTATTACAAAAAAAGGGGAGTCTGACCCCGGGCGACGGGGTGGGTCATCTTCTTAGAAGAGATAAAGAGCACTCTCTCTCTCTCTCTCTCTCTCTCTCTCTCTCTCTCTCTCTCTCTCTCTCTCTCTCTCTCTCTCTGTCTGTTCTGTGTCTCTCTCTCTCGCTCCCCCTCTGTGTGTGTGTGTGTAAGAGTGTGTACTTCGTGTACCTCTGTGTCTCTGCTGCCGGAAGGTGTCGTCTCTCTCTCTCGCTCCCCCTCTGTGTCTCTGCTGCCTTTTGCCGCCCTCTCCTCTTCCTCGCCTCGTATGTTAATGTCGACTTTTGTCTGTCACCAAATTCCAAGCTTTTCAGTCGCAGAACACCTCCCTTAGTCTCCGACTCCTGTCGTCGTTTCCCAGTTGGCGGGGTGCTCTCTCAGTTGGGCTAGGAGCACATCCCGCATCTCTCTCTCTCTCTCTCTCTCTCTCTCTCTCTCTCTCTCTCTCTCTCTCTCTCTCTCTCTCTC